TTTGTTGAAAATGAGCCAATATCAACATGAAAATATCATTTCCTCATTAGGGCCATACTAATTATGTCAAGCCCAAAAGTAGCTGCCAATGAACTGCGAGTTCGGTAAGCAACTCGATATGTTATCAACAAATTTTATCATTTCGCAAGAATTTTGAGACAATTAACTGGACTTCCAAAACAACACTTGACAAATTTTTGAGCTAGTTATAATTCTGGAGGAAATGATTATTATTTCATCAATTTATCAACAATTTATCTGGAATAGCATTTGATTGGATTGTTGAAATTTCCAACAACTTAGTTAAGGTGTTTGATGAAATAGAAGAGCTCTTCATAAAAAGGTTTGATATAGCTCAACACCATATCACTGTCGGGGACATGATTATTGAGAAAGAAAAATCTAATGGTAGACTATATCCTGAGATGGAGAAACTTAAGTTGAAGTCTGAACATTACTTACAAGAGCAACATAGTATTGAGATTCTACTCAAAAATATTCACAGACCAGTTGTCCTCCCATTGAAAGGATTCACCATCAAGAATTTTGAAAAATTGTTGACTAAGACAATCAATTGACAAGAGAAAGCTAAGCAGTTACTGTTTCTAAGTCGGGAAGCTCAGCAAAAATCTTATAAAACTTTTGAAAAGAGAACTATGAATGAGTCTACTATTGATTAAGGGAAACAAGCAATGAAAATATAGCTTAAAAATTCTAGGCAACAACCGTAGCAATCACCACAACAACAATACCAACTACAAATATAGTATCAGCCACAACAATATCCACAACGGCAGCAGTGGCAACAACCACAATAGCAATCCCAACTATAGATTACGAACAACATCAACCACCATCGCAACCCTATAGGTCCGATGGGAGAAGAATGTCTAGACAAGCATTCAAAGAATTTAAAAATCAGGTATATTCTTTCAAGAATAAAGCTATCAATAATATATTCAAGTATCTATCCATGAATCCAAATTTAAAAATTCATGAGCCCGTTAAACCTGAAGAAGTGTGAAGAGACAAGGATCCCAACTATTGCCCGTGCCGTAGGATGTTGGGTCATACTATAAAAGAATATTTCACCTTTAAATGTTGGTTGGAAAGGAATTATAAGGATGGGACTAAAGTTGACCCTAAGGAATATTTGAAGAAACTAAAACAAGGGACCATCAGTGTTGTCTTTTGTGAAGACATGAAACTGCTTAACCCCTATGCAGAAGAAGATGGTTGGAGCACTATCCTGGCCAAGAACTCCCGGAAGATCATCAACCAACTCCAAAAACTTTCCACATTGACTCCTGAAGAAACTCAAGACCTGCCAATCAAGATGCATTCGTAGTTCCCAGAGAGAAGAAAGAAGTTAAACCAGTAGTCAAGCCAGTAGAACCTGAAACAAAGACCAAAGAATAAATAGTAAGGGAACAATTACGATTGTGAAGAGAAATCCTGTTAGATTGGTTATTTTAGGCGAAGGTCCTAGGACTCTTACACCACTCTGTCTGTACGACTTTTTGTTCCTTGTGGAACTATCAAAGAAATGAGTTCGTCTCTTTCTGACAATTTTTAGTCGATTGACTCAAGTAATAACTTAAATAACAGCATAAATCCTAACAATCGCAGTGAAAATGATTCTCAAGTTATAAGTAAACTCAATGAAGATGCTTAAACTCAATGAAGATGCTTACCCAAGTGGTGATTTCTTTTTGATAGTGATGCTTATATTTTTAATTTTCGAGGCATGCCTATCAAGATTAGGATAGAATCTTCCGACTCCAAAAGATCTCAAAAAGAAGATTTGAAAGTCATGGATCAATCGATAGGAGCCACGACAATTCCTATAAAAGACATTTTTGAAAATCAACCTTCAAAGTGGCGAGATACTTCCACCTCGCAAACCACCTCCAAAGAAAACTACACAAATCATTAGTCTTAATCAACCAACAGCACCCCCATAGGGAGACACACCTAAATTTAATTATGTGTTATTCCGTTTAAGAAGGTTGCCAGCTAAACTCAGTATTTGAGACGCTTTAGTATTCTCCAAAAAGATGAGGCAGTCACTAGTTAAAGTTTTACTAGATTTCTGAATCTGAATGGCCCAACTAGCACCTATTATATTAAATGGATAAATAAATTACTTCAATGAAGTTTCCAAATTAACTTTTGTTGATGATGACCCCCTGTTAGGGACAACCGATCATAATCGACCACTTTATACATCTTTAAATGTAGGATGGTTGTGATTGTCCAAAGTTCTTGTTGATCTAGGTGCATCGGTCAACATAATGAATTTTAGAACACTTGCTTACCTCGGCATTGATACATGCAACCCCTTATCTGATAAGATGTTATTACATAGATTCAATGAAAAAGATGAGAGAACTAGGCTTCATAATCCTCTTACTCAAAATTAGGGATTTCCAAACCGAAGCGAAGTTTCATTACATTGATTCAAAGACCTCCTTCAATGCACTTCTGGGGAGATCCGGACTTCATGAACACCGAATGGTGCCTTCTTCCCTCCAATGTATCAAGTACTATAGAGACGACATAGAATAATACATTAAGAGCGACCTACAACCATTCTCAGTCAATGAAGTTGCAATTTATGAAAACACGATGTACTACATATCAAAGCAAGCACTCTTATCTAGAGAGATACCCGCAACTAAAAACTTAGAAAATAAAAGAAAAGAAAAATGTCACAAAATAAAAGATTGAGAAAGAAATGATAACAAAAGAGAAAAAAAAGAAAAATGCCACAAGAAAATTATGAAAAAGAATTAGCAACAGAAGGAAAAGATGAAAAAGAAAAAAAAACAAGAAACGCCATCGGAAGATGAGAATGAATATCAAGTAGCTTTTCAGCAGTCCTATACCTCTCCAAATTTATGAAGATGTGATAGAGCCATAAAAAGTTGCGGAGAAATCTACGATAAGAACCAAATTGACATTACAAGAGCTCTACTGCCAAACTTGAAGGATAGAATGCTCATAGTGCATATTGGCTTGGAGTCCAGCTTAGAAGATGAGTCATGCACTATAGGCTTGTATGTCACCCAGATGAAAGTAGAAGTACCGTGGAAGATTTCCATATATGATCATGCAGAAGAATGAACAGCTACTCCAAGCCACCACAAATTTGAGTCATCCATGTACGAGAAAATTAACTAGTATGTTCACACTTTAGTTCTAATCCCACTATCCTCAAATATTGTGGCTAAATTGAAATTTCAAATTTGCACCCCAATTGAGCATTATCAGGGTCAAAAGTTTTATAAATGGTTCTTATTTTCAGACCTTGAAAAAAATGTAGAACTTGATAATAAAATCTCAAATGAATTAATAAAACTTCTTTTAATTGGAGCTTGCCTTGTGTTACAAATTTAGCAAAGCAAGGTCCAATACTACACATATGGCCCAAATAAGAATATTATTAATTCAAAAATCTTTTAGATACTAAACACAAAGGAATCAAGTTAAGAGCCGGTGTAGGATTCACCACTATAGAACCAATAGACAATAAAGAATATTGCATGATCATCTTGACTACCATGAACTTGATAAAATCTTTTTAGAATCTAATCATTTTTATGACGATGTTTGTTCGAATGATCTCCCCAACGCCTCAATTTGGGAATGCACCTCCCGAACTAGAAGAATAAATTAAGTCGACTATTGAAAAATTAAAAGAAATAAATTTGAGAATTCATGACAACCCTGAGCCAACTTTTAAAATTCTCTTTTAAACGAATAAGAGATTAATGACCTTGTGAAGTTATTCATAGAATTTAAAGATTGTTTTGTTTGCTATGAAGATATGCTAGAAATATATCTCGAGGCGACGATTCATAAATTGAAAATACAACCTGATGTCATACCAGTTAATCAAGCCCCTCAACAGATGAGAGTGGATATCAAACTAACAAGTAATCGTGGAAGTGAAGAAATTGATTGATGTTGGCTTTATCCGAGAAGCAAAGTATCCACTTAGTTGGTCAGTGTTGTACTAATTAAGAAAAAGAATGAACAAATTTGAGTGTGTATAGACTTTCAAGATCTCAACAAGCAAATTGATAAACGACCACCACTCGCCGACTATTAACGACCACCACCGACCGCCTCTTGTTTGCTGACGTCGATAAATACCACGATATAATGACGCACCCTGAAGATGGTGTAACAATGCACCCCAAATACAGTATAACAACGCACCCTAATACAGTGTGACGACATACCCAGAAAATGGTGTAGCGATGCACCCCAAATATGATGTAGCGATGCACCCCAAAATGGTGTAACGTCACACCCCACATATGGTGTTGTGACACACTTCGAAGACGGTATAACGATGCACTCCGAAAATCATTTAATGACACAACTCGAAGACGATGCAATGACACACTCTAAATATGGTGTAAAAAAACACCACAAAGACGGTGTAACGATACACAATGAAGACAGTGTGATGAACACTGAAGATAGTGTAACAACGCACCATGAGTATAGTGTAACTCTCCGCAACCGACCTAATAAAAATATGATAACCTTCTACAAAATTCTGAAGTTCTCTCCTCATAGCTCCCCACTATGACCTACGGTCTATATGGTTCATTGCAACTATGACATTGGTGGCCAACTAACATTGCTATAGCTCCCAACTCATTTTTAAATTGAAGTCATTGTCTCTCAATTTGTTTAACAAGCTTTGGCCGCGAATGAGCCAAGATAGAATATCATATTTATAAAGGAGCTCAAGCTCGTACATAGTCTTAAAAGCTTGAATCAAGTTCGAGTCAAGCTTGAAAAAGCTATTAATAAACGAGCTCGAGCATGAATAGGCATCTGCTCAGCTTGCTCAGCTTGGCACATTTCAATTCCAGTCCTACCCACAAGATAAGGCCCACATGCACTTTCATGCAATATAACTATCAATAATAAACACCTGGAGCTTAAAACAACGGAAAAAAAATGCGGAACCATACACATACCTTCGCCAAATCCCTACTCATCTTCTTCGAAGCCGCTAGCAAAGAATCCCGCTCCTTCAACAACTTAATCTTCACGAAAAAATAAAAACTAATGAACAGATAGAAAATGGTTCGAAATGTGAAGGAAATCAGTCCAAGTTCCAGAGAGAGAGAGCTTACATTCTCCTCGAGGGCCGTCCTGAGGCGCGCATCCGTCTCCCGGAACATAATCTCTAGCTCAGAGATACGACTCTGGAGCTCGGAGATGGCCCGGTCCTTGTCGACAATCTTCTGGCGCATCCGGCCGGCCTCGGACTCGAGCTTAGAAACGCGGGACGCTATGGCGAGTGAGGTTATCTTTCTAGCTAAGTTTAGCTGTTCGTAAGGATCCGTGGGGATCACGGTGAGGATCTCCTCTGGGATTTGGAAGTCCGAAGAAGCACCACTCTCGGCCATTCTCCGCCACCGACTGCCGGTTGCCCTAACCCTACACTTTAAAAATCGACAAGGAAATGGAAAGGTGAGAGTGGCTGAGAGAACTAAGGAAGAGAAAGACTGGTAGAGATCGAGGTTGGATTTAAAAGAGGGAAGTAAGTTTTTGAATCGGTGTTTTGGAGGTTTTTGTTTCACCCACTCACGTTTTCCCTCAACTCTAATTTTTCCCATTTTACCTTTATTTCATAGCGCCAGAGCCAGTAAATTTACTAGTCGGAACTCTGGGATATATGAAACGGGGACGGCCCCTTTCCGCGTTTTATAGGATGGGTAGAAAGCGGATTGGTGTTCAAATATATAGATTTCAAAATATATGAATAGCTAAATTTATTCATTTAGTTAAAAGTAATTAAATTTCTATTATTTTTTTATGAATGCTGAATCATAATTTGTCCACCAATCATGCCGAAAAAATGGAGCGTAAGGAATTAAAGACAGAGACAGAGAGAAATACATAGTCATGAACATTAATCTGATTTGTTGAATAGTCATTTCTCATCAAATGACTCATATATTTATAGAAGTGGTGATAAAATATATAAAATTACTTGTTCGCCCATGTTTTAATAGAAGCATTAAAGGATATTTCAGGTATTTTATGAGTAAGAGCCTACGACCCTCTGATTAGGTCAACTGAAGTCAGTATGTCTTAGTTCGGCAAGACCTGCTCGCTTAGTTGTGGCGAATCAAGGTTCTTGGTTGGCAATTGATGGTTTTCAGGTTGGTAAAACTCATCTCAATAGGCTTGTTTTGTCGGTCTGCTATTCTAGTCTGGATGTCGGCTATTGATCCCTGGATGAGTCATTTTTATCGACCAAATGAGACCAGGCTATCGAGCAATGGGTGAATCCCAGTAATCCGATAGATATCTCATTCCTTGATGAGGAGGTTCCTATGGGATGATTGTTGATTATGTCAATACAAATTCTTGACTCCCAATGAGAAATCTCATGGATATCCTTGAGACTGTTGGTGATAGTGAATTCTTTCCCTTGAGTCGGATTGAGGTGATAGGCAGATCATTGCCTCGAATTGAGTTACGGGGATAGGCAGATCAAGGCCTTTGCTTGGCTCAATTGGTTTTAGTCCTTGGTTTGGGTTTTCTATATCTGCTCAGCCTGTAGCTCCAGTTTAATGGGTTGCATCTGGTCAAGTGGACCCTTTGGTCTTCTGTAAGTGGGCCCTCCTTAATTGTACCTATTTTGCCTTCTTGTCCATTGGATCTCCTCAAGAATTGTGTCGAGGCATTCTTGATGAATAATTTTTAGTTTCGTGATTATCTTATTTTTTGAAAGTGATAGCTAGAATAAGAATAAGAGAATTTAATGCAAAAGTTGATATCATTTATTACTTAATCAAAGCTTTAATAATTTAACTTTTAGATTTTTGTGCCCAAGACTTATAAATATAGCATGATTGACTCTTTTGTTATTCAACATTTATTGTGTATCTCTGTGTTTGAGTCGGTCAGCTTTCAAACATCTTTTTGGCAAACACTCTGAAACATTTAGATGAGGCCTCAGGTACAAAAATTATGAGGGTTGCTTTTGGATTGTCTGCGTTGGAATCCCACCCTAAGCCCAAAAGGAAACTAAATGGAGAGAAGAGGTGCAAGGGAAAAAAGAGGCCAAAAGGAGAAAGCAGGTCGAAGGGCTAGAGCAACCCAAAGGGTAAAAAGCAAAAAAAAATAAAATATTAGATTCCAAGAAAAGGAACTTACTTAGGACAATGGACAAAGTTGGGTGATCTGACTCACTTCAAGGTTCTCGATGGGGGAAGATTAAAAAAAATAAGTAAGCATGTTGGATGGATCGACTATAAGACCGCCAATCTAGCCTACTACTGTGACCCGTGGCTAAAAGGTCGAACTGCTTGTATAGAGAGGAGTTGGAGCCCTATTTCCTGCTATGCAGGAAGCTGAGGTAATATGTCCTCAGCCGGGAACAAAGGACTGCGAGCTCCTCACCAACACCTGTCAAAGCATTATGCAGCTTTAATGGTATGAGGTGCATCAACTCCTTAGTATGAGGAGACTCAGTCTTACTTACTTAGATGAATTTTCCATACCTTTACTCAATTTGACATCTATAGACAAGACATGTATTGAGCTATCCACATTAGCTCAAGATCTCTAGACACCCTTTTAAAAATCTAATGATCACTATGCTCATTATATCCATCCTCGGGAGGAGGTCTGCCAACATTTACTCCGTTGAACCTATTTAGGGTCCCCAAACCCTAAAATTTGGATTAATCTCTCATGTACCCTCTTTGAGCTCAAATCATGATGACACCCCAAGATGATCAAATCAATGGTAACAAACCTTGATTTGGTCACCACATTGACCATTTGGTCAAGATTGGACCCAGTGGTCACCACATTAACCATTTGGTCAACCTTGGACCTAATGATCACCATATTGACTATTTGGTCAACTTTGGACCCTATAGTCAATCATAGAACCTAATTGGTCAAACTTGACCTTTTGGTCAACCCTGGATCTAATTGATCAAACATGGTAAATTTGTCAAGGCTGAAGCCCAATTGGTCAAATCTGATAAAAGGGCAAAGTCTAAATAACCTTGGTCAATCTTATGCCCAAATAGGATCGAATGGTCAACCTTATGAGTTTGACTTAATTAATTAATTGATTCATTAACTATGTCATGAAAGGGCCTTAGCCTAAAGGGATATATGATCCACCTAAAAATAACTTATTTTTAGTGCATATTTCATATTCATTTTATGTCTGTTTTTGATGATATTGCACTTTAAAGGAATGTATATTGCATGTTTTTAGTTTCAGGTACATGGAATGGATATTTGGAGAAAATAAGGATAAAATAGAGCAAAAATGAATGTTTTTGTATGGTATTATAACTCCAGTAGATGGGTTGAATGGGTAACCAGCTTTCTAAAATATCCATTGAATTTGGTCGAATTTTGAATGTGTGCTTGAACTGCCCATGGTGATTTTTGATAGGGCCTAATTCTGGATGAAAAGAGAGTCTTTTAAGAGTATTTGTGGAGACATTTTGGAGAGTACGGTTGAGTCTAGTGTGTGAGTGTGTGAGAGTCTTTGTTTAGTGTAAGAGTTTGGAGATTGGCTTCAAGGAAACTTCAGGATTTGCTTGCGGAGAAGACATAAGGATAAACATCTTGTATATGTGGTTATGTTTTTATTGTAAGACTTGGATTTCAATACAAATTATTTATTTTTATTTTATCTCCATAAATTTTGAGTAATTTCATTTCTTTCTCCTTAAATATGGGAATTAATTTTATAGGATGAGAATGATTTAAAATTTTATTTTTAATTTTAAAATATTGTGATGATATTTTTACCGGTTCTTCATTGACTTTGCAAATAAGTCATTTGTATCGTTAAAATCTGTTGAGAAACATAATGAACCGAAAGAGGTATGTTTCACTAACTAGTGAGTACACATTTCATCTTGGGCAGAGCCATTGTGATCACTTAATGAGAGTGCAAATAAATATGGACTTAAGTTTTGATGGGTGTAGAATTGATGCTTCTAGGGTGACAGACTAGATTCTTTTACCAATTCGTTCTAGAGTTTTGATCGTAAGGGTCCCTAATAGGTCCTATAGAGAGTGCACAGTGGGTAATATGGAAGTGAGAGGCCAGAATTTACTCAGTGCTATCACATAAGCTAGTGAGAGACTCTAGGTTACCCAATATTTTTTGCAAGCACTGAGAGAGGGTAAAGAGTAGGAATGCTTCTAATTGGCACAATACAACATTTTATCATTTTCATCATTCGATTCTTACACTGATTAAAATCTCGTTGCAAAGGGAAAGATCTTTCCATAATATTTCAAACTCTCTTTTAAAGTCTTTTTAACTGTGTTAGCTTTAAAACTTCATTTTTATTTTCTGCATAAATTTAGTGTTAAATTATTATCGGCATTTCAAAACTAATTTTCTATTGTAATATATGCAATTTAGATAGATGTTTTGAAAGTCAATATTATAAGAATTTCAGCATTCCTCGGGGATCGATACTAGGGTTTTAAGGAAAATTCTATATTACTTGAAATGATACGTATACTTACGTAGTACCCCTAGTGTGAAATTTTATTATTTATTTTTATTTAATCGCACTAGTCATTAAATATAATTTGGTCCAAGTTTTTTATAATCATTTGTAGTTAAAAAAATATACGTAGTTGCATGTTGGGTCAAGTTTTTGGCACTATGGCTAGGAAATCGACGAAATTTTTTACTTAAGAAACTTTATTTATACTATAGATTTATTTTAGGAAAATTAAAAATCAATTTTAGTGCTTACTTAATTTTAAAAATTTTCAAAACATAAAAAAATTAAAAAAAAATCAAAAAACATAAAAACATTTGAAAAAACCAAAAAATATAAAAATTTGAAAAAATCAAAAAATATAAAAATTTGAAAAAATCAAAAAATCTAAAAAATTTTGAAGTATTTTTTATTTTATTTAAGTTGTTTCATTTTCTAAATTTTTACTTTTTGCATAAGAAGTTCGGAATCTGAAGGTTTAGTACTCTACGATTTTGAATTACAACAAATAATTAGAAGAATTAGAAAATAAAAAGGACTTCACAATTCAGAAGAAATGGCAAAAACTTCACATAACAATTTTAAAAATCAAAATATTGTAAATGTGTTGACCTCACTTTTGGTTGAGGTCTGATTTCCTCCTTAGTAGCATAGGGTCTAGTCATAGGACATTCCTGTTGACTATTTCTAGATGACTAGTAAAGAAATTCTCACCATTAGAAACTCTAAACTCTTCTTTGCTCAATTTAAAAATCCACATATTGGTCCTAACCTCTAATATTTAGTAGGTGGGGACAGTACGGGGGAGCTCAAAGGGAGTCCCCATAGGATTGTTTGGCCTTAGGGTGGACCCTGGGTGGTGTGGCCTTGGTCAGTTTCACACACACACACTTGATACCCCCACTTACACTCACAATTTAGGCTTTTGTCAAATATGCTTAGTTGGTCCCTTAACTTTTTGCGAAACTCATGTAGATGGTCCCCTAGGCCACTAGCTATAGGCTAGGGTTTAACTAAGACTAGTACATGAAGGACCAAAGTAGGGAATTCTATTGGTCCATGGCTCAAGTAGGTTTCTTATGTGGTTGGCAACCCCAATCCTACTAAAATACCCAATTTAGCTTTTTGCCCCCAAAACCTACCCCAATTTACCAAACTGCCATTGAAACCCCAATTTTG